CTGCCCGGGACTTCTATACAGCCATACGTAATGGATGGTCATTATTTGTCGGCCCTTGGAGGATCTTACAAAAGGATAATGGAGAAAATGGTCGACGGGAAGGAGAAGACCTATCATTGGTTAATTAATCACTACAAGTTGCACACCTGCCCATGACTTACGAGTCTGTTATTAACAAGCATTACTCGCTTGTAATGCTGGACGAGCTACGACGACGACCTCTGACCCGAGGAGCGGGGACCACTCCAGGCCACTCCTCCTGCTCACGGAATTCTCAAACTAATTATTAATATCGTCTTTCCTGATTAAACTCAATTACTCCAATACTTCGCATCCGTAATGACGTTTCGTTAATTTCGTATTCTCTTGGAAGATTCAGAAATTAGAGCGGACTTCGTCAGGACCATTTGAGCTCAGCTGAGCGCATCTTTAATGTTGCCAGAAGTGACGTATAAAACCTTAGAGATATATATACAGGCAGACAGGGCAAAGCATATCCTACGCTGAAGCAAATGAGAACAGGAACGACGAAGGTTAACGGGACGAGTTGACTGCGCGTCATTTCACAAATTGCCAATTATCCCAACAAGATTTTATCCCCAGAATTTCACAGGCTAGCCGGGCTGCCATATCGGACGCAATTTCGCAGCATCTTTCTAAAACCGAGATTCGCTGCTGTTTCGCCGCATTCACCAATTACTTGCTGGACCATTTCCTCCCTTCGTCCCCTCGACCCGCCCTTGACCTACGTGTCATCCGCACACAGGTTATCCGTACTGCCCACCATATACACGTCACGTATCACACACAAGGTGCGTCCTGAATTTAAAAAAAAGTCCCGAAAAAGTACCTCGACCAATATCAGATAAAAGCAAGCGTCTCGTAACGTCGATAAACGATAAGCGATGTTATCGATATCGGCGATAGATCGATCTTATCCGCGTAAATGGGCGTCACTCAGCGACACGTGAAAGTAAGAAAGTAAAATGAAAATAATTGATATTCCCGTCTAGGAATTTGAAAAACGACGGTCGCGGTCGAAGCTTCGACTCGGCGAGTCGAATTGATAACGAGAGTAATGTAAGCCGTGCCGAGTTATGCCTTATCGAGAAACGCCATTAGCATTGCCAATAAAACGTAATGTAACTCACAGGATCGCGTAGGCCTATGTATATGTATATACCATACGCACAGTATACTGTGCTCTATAGGGACACATTGCACAGAGTTCAGTGACGTTCTCGCGATTCCATCGCGAATTCCGGTTTAGCGACTCGCCTCCCGTGTTCCGATTGGATCTGAGGATTCCCGAGGAATCGGAAGTCCGTTCGTTAGACTCCCGAGGAATTCACCTTGATTTGCTGTCCAGCCGTCCTGGACGGAGGTTTTGATAATTTGACCGATCGTTCATCACTGGACTCGAGATAAGATAAAGATTAGTTCTTGTTTCGGCACGCGGGACGCTGACAAATCTTCCGAGTTCGTTCGCGCCTCGAGCTGATAATGATTTTGATAACGGACGAGCGTCGATTCATCGGTACGAGAGATGCGTCATTAATATTTCACGTGGGGACGAAGGTCAACGAAGGTGTAGACTCTGTTCGAGGTTACCGGAAGAGACCAATTTTCATAGCGATTTTCAATTAACTGTAGCAGGATCGAAGATCAATCGCGAGTGGACCGAAGTGCATGGAGAGCCAATGGGAGCCAATGGGAGCCAATGGGAGCACCGCACGATTCTCAGACTTTAGCGCAGCTGCAATTGAGGTCTATTCGATGTTTCTGGTACGCGTTGATTATAGGAAAAGTATAACTTGAGATACAGGACGTTGCGTAATTGTACAAAAGTCTAGAGAAGAAGGAAAAATGATAAAGCGACTCACCAGCGGATTCCGGTTTTCTCCCTTGTTTGGTGCGCAGATCATCCACGGGGCCGGTTTGGGATTTGAAACTCACCATTTATTCACGGATCGAATTGGACACTCCAACTTTTCCATTATTTTTCCACACGCGTCATTTCGGATGCCGACTGATTCACTTTTGCTAGGAGTTTGGACCAACGCGTGACTCTTCGCGCACGAAGGAGAATCACTGGGGTTTCACTTTGTTAGGCATTTCTCGAAGGGGCGAGGGGGTACTTTAGGGGTAGAGGGTTAGGAGAGGAGAGAGAAGAGGTAGATGAACAAGAGAATGCAGCTTTAAATGGAGATGATGACAAGATGAAGAAGCGACGAATCGATAGAAGTAGTGAAAGAGTGGGAGGGAGGGAGGAGGGAGGGACGCGACGGCGAAATCCCGATATAGGAGATTGGCTTCCCGGAAGACAAAGTCCAACTGAAAAGATTCTTTCGGATATCAGTGAGTACCCCTCTCTCCTCTCCTCCTACTGGACTAATCGGCAAGTGCTGCCCTCTCGCCAACGATTTTTCAATTACAATTTTTGGACGGACGTTGAAGCGACCCTTGAAAAATTGCTGATGTACCGAGAGACCTTCGATTTTCAGTGCTTGAAATGAAGTGGACGGGGAAGTACCAGCGTGTAAGAGAGAAAGAGAGAGAGAGAGAGTACGAGGCAAGAGGATATAAAGAAGAAAGAATAAGTAAAAGGAATGAAAGATTTAATTGGGTTTGTCAGGTCGATTCTCGGGGAATCGCGAGTGTTTTCGTCTTTAGCGGCAAAGCGGCAAAGCGGCTCAGCGGCAAAGCCTACACGAGCGTCTTCCCTGTTATTTCAAGATTCAAAGATTGACGTTCCCGCGCGGCGGCGGCGGCTCCGAGCGTGGGAGAGGAGAATCCGACGTGATTGGAGCCTCGAAAGTGTTTAAAAACCTCGGCATAGTATCACGGTCCATCACGGTCCATCACGCCCATCACGCCCATCCTGTAATTGCTGTCTGCTCCATAGACTCTGTAAACCGTACAGAGTGTACAGCCTTCAGCCAGTCTAGGCGCCTCAAACTCACCTCAAACTCACCTCACTCACCCATTGAAAAGAGACCCGAGTGCCTCGAAGAGTCTAAAACACGAACAAAGACCGAGACTCTGCGTGGTGGCCGTTCTAGGAACTCTTTGAATCTGGACCCAAGAAATTCCCTAGGACGAGTCCGTGTCCCGTAAGGCTGTCAATTAAATGGCAATACTCTACTGTTGATTCGATCGATCGGATCGATCCAGCCAGTAGGCAGCCCTGGAAGTGCCTCTCGAATGATTTCTATACCTTCCTCGAGTAAGTTCCTTTAGATTTTCTCCTCTCGTGCAAAGTTCGCGCGGTTCCGTGCGTGTTTCGCGTTACGTGCAATTACGCAAATGGGATCGTGGCTGATCGTGTTACGTCGATCGATACGATCCAATCGCGAGCCTAGGGAATTTAACGACTTGCATGCGAATGCAAATCGTCTATCCGGCGGCCGAGGATTATTGCGCCAGGGAGAGAAGAGAAGCAAAAGATCAGTCTCTTCTTCGAATGCAAATCCCAAGTGCGCGTTCTTAGGTTGGCAATGCCGCACCGGTGGATTCTAGGGAGATACGCCAGAATGAACTTTTAACAGTGGGAAAGGACACCAAAGAACTTCTGACCTGTTGGCTCGTAGAACTTCCACATCCATAACTAACGGCGGTAGCTCAGACTTTCTATTCCCATTTAACGAAGGTTCCCGGCATCAGGTTCGTCGCGGAGCCACAGTGCGCACACAGTGGGCACACAGTGCGCCATTGGAACCGGCATGGATATTGCGCTTGGGAGACTCTAGGGGGGGGG